GAGATGTACGTCTATGCGACTGTCCCCAAATACACGTTGTAAGATGTACGTCTATGCGACTGTCCCCAAGTACACGTTGTATACGTATATGCGCCTGTCCCCAAGTACACGTTGTGAGATGTACGTCTATGAGACTGTCCCCAAGTACACGTTGTGAGATGTACGTCTATGCGACTGTCCCCAAGTACATGTTGCGAGACATACGTCTATGCGACTGACCCCAAGTACACGTTGTGAGACGTACGTCCATGCGACAGTCCCCAAGTACACGTTGTGAGATGTACGTCTATGCGACTGTCCCCAAATACACGTTGTGAGAGGTACGTCTATGCGACTGTCTCCAAGTACACGTTGTGAGATGTACGTCTATGCGACTGTCCCCAAATACACGTTGTGAGATGTACGTCTATGCGACTGTCCCCAAATACACGTTGTAAGATGTACGTCTATGCGACTGTCCCCAAGTACACGTTGTATACGTATATGCGCCTGTCCCCAAGTACACGTTGTGAGATGTACGTCTATGAGACTGTCTCCAAGTACACGTTGTGAGATGTACATCTATGCCACTGTCTCTAAGTACACATTGTGAGATGTACATCTATGCGACTGTCCCCAAGTACACATTGTAAGATATAGGTCTATGCGACTGTCCCCAAGTACACGTTGTGAGATGTACGTCTATGCGACTGTCCCCAAATACACGTTCTAAGATATACGTCGATGCGACTGTCCCCAAATACACGTTGTAAGATGTACGTCTATGCGACTGTCCCCAAGTACACGTTGTATACGTATATGCGCCTGTCCCCAAGTACACGTTGTGAGATGTACGTCTATGAGACTGTCTCCAAGTACACGTTGTGAGATGTACATCTATGCGACTGTCTCTAAGTACACGTTGTGAGATGTACATCTATGCGACTGTCCCCAAGTACACATTGTAAGATATAGGTCTATGCGACTGTCCCCAAGTACACGTTGTGAGATGTACGTCTATGCGACTGTCCCCAAATACACGTTCTAAGATATACGTCGATGCGACTGTCCCCAAGTACACGTTGTAAGATATACGTCTATGCGACTGTCCCCAAATACACGTTGTAAGTCATACGTCTATGCGACTGTCCCCAAGTACACGTTGTATAAAGACATACGTCTATGCGACTGTCCCCAAGTACACATTGTCAGGTGTACGTCTATGCGACTGTCCCCATGTACACGTTGTAAGCCCCGCTGTTAGCAATGCACATTTTAATTAGAGAATTGAAGATATCACAAAATCAACAAATCTGAGGGGCCCACCTGTAGTACATATATGTATGATATCAATTCAATCAGACTTGCAGTTTTTAACAAGTCAAAAATATCACTTTTTATCAAAAATAATCATCAAAATTAGAGAATCAAAGATATCATCACGAAATGAACCAATCTAAGAGAGGTCTACATATATACCAAGTATCACAACAATCAAACTTGTAGTTTTCAAGAAGTCGAAAAGATAAAAAGTTGATGCGAACACCAAGAGACAATCACTCAAAAGTCAACAATGGAGGTAGACTATGAAAATGTAACACATGTGATAGCTGGATTTTTGTGACAGTTACCAGAATAATTACTCATCATTGACAACCGCTCCCTATATACATGTATGATAAATAACACACTGATATTCCTAAAACTGGCAAATCACATGACCTATCACATGTCAAATTGCAGACCAATAGGTCTAAATTGTTCTTGAGCAGAAAATTTAAAATCATTTGAAGGGCAGTGGTTGTCGCGCCGCGCATGTGCAATATTTGTGTTGATAAACATTGATTCTCCCACAATCCAATGCGCTTTTCTAATGGAAATCACGAGTATGAGGTTTGACCTGGGCACGACTTGCACTAACTATCACCAGTGACTCCTTCGATACCTTCCAATCACCAAAAAGAAATTCTGAATCAAAGCGTCTAAGTTTGTACTGGATCTGCGCTACAGTCAAAGTCGCCATCTTTATTTATACAAGACAGATACATCTCGTGCGTGCGTGCCGAGACGACTACCGCCCTATGCCATTTTTATAACAACGCATATATAACAGAGTGATATCAGGTGTTTCAAAGTTCAATTCATTTAATATTCAGGTTGACTTGACATGTTGCGAGTATTCTAGATGAATACTAACAACCCTGGTATCAAAAGCAGTGTGGTATGTGTAACGTAATTTGTATTTATAGATCATCGCCCACAATGTTATCAGTTCAGTCCAATCATGGAAGGTACTTCTGTTAGTACCTTTCATGGTCCAATGTTGCACAACACCCACCCTGGTATGGTAGACAATGCACAATTATTATTAATCATAAATTAATTATTAATCCTTCCAATCTCTTAATAACCAATAAAAGTGCCATTGTTTTTACAAACAAAGCATATTTTTTTATTAATCAATGATTAATCAATAAAACTGCCATTGTTCCACAAACAATGCAAAAATCTTCAACTCAAGTACTTTACACAAGTACGGTACCTTGCTTGCCAATCACACTTGGTGAATTAAATTATCTATGGAATGCATTTGCAACAGTTAATTGACGTAACTGGCAGTTTAGATTGTTCATATAATAATTATTCAGCCATCTTTGATCTGATTATGAAATACACCGATATGTATGATGTATGTGCCAAATACAAATGAAAATGGTACATAAATTGTGGAAATATAGTAGCAAGGCCAAAATGTCAGATGGCTGGCAATCGGCCATCCTTGACCAGATTTTGAAACAAATTGTTATGGACATGCATCCTAACATGTATAAAGTACATGTATGTGCCAAATTTGAATGAAAACTGACAGAGCACTTCCAAGATACCGCATAAAAAAAAAAACCAAGATGCCTGCCAGTTGACCATCTTTGATCCAATTGCGAAATAAATTGTACTGGACATGTAACCTAACATGTATAATCTATGTACCAAGTTTGAATGACAACTGACAAAGCATGTCTAAAATACAACATTTTCAAAAAACAAGATGGCTGCCAGTCGGCCATTTTCAATCGAATCGCTAAACCACTGCATGTGCATATGTCCCACATAAGGTACTAGGCACATGCAAAGAATGAACGAATAGGTCCACAGGATTCTGAAATATTACTATTGACAGACTGATGCACGCACGCACGAACGGACAGACAGACTCAGGAACTCACGGATGGTCGGGGACAAGTATCCTAACATGTATGATCGATGTACTAAATTTGAATGAAAACTGACAAAGCATGTCCAAAATACATTTTCAAAAAACAAGATGGCTGCCAGTCGGCCATCTTTGATCCAATTGTGAAATAACTCGTCATGGACATGTATACTAACATGTATAATCTATGTACCAAATTTGAATGAAAACTGACAAAGCATGTCCGAAATACAACATTTTCAAAAAACAAGATGGCTGCCAGTCGGCCATTTTGAATCGAATCGCTAAACCACTGCATGTGCATATGTCCCAGATAAAGTACTAGGCACATGCAAAGAATGAACGGAATCGGTCCAAGGGATTCTGAGATACGACTCCGGACGGACACATGGACGGAAACCGAATTGTAAGTCCCCGTTCGGACGACTAATTAAGGAACTGAAGATATCATTAAAAAATGAAGAATATGCATAGTATCAATGCAATCAGACTTATTAGTCAAAAATATTACTTTTTACCAAAAATGACAAAAATATTCACCAAAATTAGAGAATTGAAGATATCATAAAATGAACAAATCTGAGAGAGGTCCACATGTGGTACCTATATATGTAATATCAAAGCAATTGGACGAGAGGTTTTTAACAAGAAGTCGAAAATATCACTTTTTACCAAAAATGACAAAACTATTCACCAAAATTAGAGAATTGAAGATATCATCATGAAATGAACAAATCTAAGAGAGGTCAACCCAAGGTACATATACACTAAGTTATCACAGCATTCAGACTTGTAGTTTCCAAGAAGAAGAAGTCGAAAAAGTAAAACATTAACAATCACTCATATGATGAGCTCCGCTCGACAAAGTCGACAGTGGAGCTAATAAAATTATAACTTTCAAGCACACCAATGTTAAACAGATCACTGCATATAAATACAAACGTAATCTGCATTGATCATCCGAGCCAAATGACCATTTTTCTATTCAATGCATGAAATTGAACATTAAAATGGGACAAACAAAGGTCATAGCGTTCTCGTGGGCTAAAAATCATCTTGTTGATTCAACAAACATGAAGCTATTTTTGGGGTATTTCCACACTTAATAATCTCACATTACTACTATACATATTTGATGGTCGATGTATCTCAATAGAGCCCGGTTGTGATTATGACAACGTGAACAACAGTGTTTTTTTTTTTTTTCACATACAAAATCATACAGACACAGAAATAATATTTTTTTTAAAGATTTATTTATTCAATCAGTTTATGACATATCATCATCATTTGTGCCATCCTCCTCTTCATCTTCCACCTCCTCTTCTCCATCACTTTCATGTTTTACAGGCTTTTTATTTTTTACACTCAAGTTTTCAAAAGTCCCGTCATTTGACCACATACATTCCAATTTTATGGAGAATTTTGACATCTTATGATCAAGAAGTTTCTGTGAATCAGAAATATAAAAAAAAAAATTTATAATAATTTGCTGGGAAATGGCAATGTGCATTTACAATAATGCAAGCCAACAAGTCATTATATGAGATGCATGCTTTCATAGCAAGATTATATAGGAATGGGCACACATGTTCATGATCATGTTCATAATATGTATTTACTCGTACACTGGGCTCAGACAACTAATACAACAGAAGTAATGCGTGCCACGTTTGTTTAGGTTATCAGTTCTTACTATATCTAGTGAACGAGATTATCAATAGATCTCTTAAAATAACGTGAGATCTATTCATATTCCAATCATCTATCGCGAATACATCGCGAGATATAGGTAATTCTTATTACCTCCATGACCACACCAAAATACGAAAACGGCATTTACAGAAGAATTTAGCAAATCTGAGGACGATAGTTCCGAACGTGTATAACACGTACTATGAAGTCAAACACGACAAAAATAATCCCTAGTTTTTACCGATAACCGGCTTAGGCCAATAGGCTGAGAGATATCATGTATATGTATATGTTTTGGCACCCCTGAACACAAAAACAAAACTGTTAACACACAAAGTGGTATGATCGCTAGAACCGCAACGATAGACCCTTGCAAAATCCAAAACAGCAAGAAATATTGTTTCAAAGTTGCTCATTATATATTCAAAAACTATTCTAAGACATTCAGTTACATAACTCGCCTAAATGTTGGTCGATTCTTAAAATTCTTACACAGGTCAAAATGTCCATAACGCACCTCTCGTTGTTTTAAAAATGTCCGGATTCGTTTTACGAAGAAATAAGCAATTTCCGAGAAGGAAGCACAAAGCGTGCAAAATATCTGGTGTTCGATAAACTTTGACGGCGTCTATGTCAATACTACTGAGCAGGGCACACATATAATACATGTATATAATTATGTCGATTAACACTTTAAATAATAAGCATTGCCAGTATGTTGTATTGGTAGTCTGAGCACTGGGTAAAAGAAAACGGTTGAGAAATCTTTTAAGTGTGTATAAATGACTGAGAACTGAATTGATTTTGTTGCATTTTGACAACCAGCGTGTAGAACAGCATTTTTGAAAACATGGCCGACCATCAGCCATTTTGAATTGGATCAATGAAACAAACTGATGTGCATTTCAAACCGTTGCAAAGAAACACATAACAGAACATTTAATTAGTAGGCAACACATACATAAATGCATATTCATAGACTAATCAGAAACTTATCAGAAATTTAACAACAAACAGCATTACTTGTTTTTGGACATTCGATCAAACTTAGAACGCAAAATAACATGCATAACATAACAAAGGAAGCTCAGAAAAAGCTCCTGTATGCTGAAAGTATTTGAGGTACATGAATCAGAATTAAAATGCTAAGATTATTTAGATATCAAAAAATTACCTAATTTAGGCAAATTTGGATAATTAAAATAACAAATTTATTTCAATCCTAAAATTAATCAGTTGTTACAGCAGAGCCTAAGCAGAGCAACTAAGTTCCAATGAAATTTAAAGATATCAGTATAACAACTAAAAATAGCCTAATTGACCTGTCACTCAAAGGTTTTTGCCAAAAAAAAATAAATTGCATTTCATTTGAGAGTAGGGAAGTGTGTAACAGTATTACATATTAGTAACATGCACAGACTTCCACTGAAACCTTATCAGGTCTATGCATTATCACAAAGCATTAAAATCTAATAATTGGTTCTTGAGATATTGAATAGCTCCACTTCACGTCTTTGTAACTACATTTTGTATGTTCTAAATAACAACCAATGTAGTAATTATTATCAACTTGTTACAAATCAAACAAAGTATCAAAGTAATTAAGCTGGTATTTTCAAGAAAGTCAAAAATTGCATTTTTTACCAAAAATTACAAAAATAATGGCTAAAAATAGAGAATTGGCGATGTTGCCACAAAATAACTAAACTCAGAGTAACAACATACTGTAAAATACTTTATTTTCGCTTGGAATTTATTTTCGCTATTTTCGCTGAAGGGATGATTCCGTGAAAATAAAATCCAGTGAATATACTTTTTTTCCTATATTTCACATTAAACTCATCAAAAATCAGTGAAAATAAATTCCAAGCAAAACGCCCAAAAAGCCTTTTCAGCGAAAATTAATTCCAACGAAAATAAAGTATTCCACAGTACTAAGTATCAAAGTAATTGAGCTGGTAGATTTGACAAAAAATTTCACTAAAATGTTGGCAAAAAAAAGGGAATTGAAGATTTTGCCACTGAATTAAAAAAAACTGATAGAGGTCAAGTCAATGCATGTCAACTATCAACCAAATAGTGTTGTTGTTGATTATATTTCTAGTAGATTCAAAACATACATGTAAACAAATTTAAGTAAATTAAATAAATCAATACAGAAAAATGGCACCAATGTCACATGACCATAGATGTATATATCCCCCGAGGAACAATGTACCAAATCTTATTAAATTTGATAATAGTTTCTCAAAATATCAGTGAAACAGACATATACGATCGCACACGCACAGATACACTAACCGCAAAGACTCCCATTGTGTGCTTCATACACGCGAGTCAAAATTCGGTTAATTAAGATTACTGGTACGTTAATTATTAATATCTATCAGTATTTAATTTCAACACATGGTGCGAAATAAGGTCACCATGATAAGTACGATGACAGTAACCATACGTACCAATATCCGTGCTTGTTCTGGTGTTAGATTGTGTCCAGCTTTGCAAACAGTGTGCTCAGATAATAATGTTACAATTCCTGCAAAATTAAATTACCAATATAACCACATTACAACAAATTATTGCGAGCGTGCTAGTGAATTCCAAGCATAGAATGAAAAGTTGAATTTGAAAATTCAAATATTCTTGTACTGTAAAATACTTTATTTTCGCTATTTTCGCTTTAGGAATGATTTAGCGAAAATAAAATCCAGCGAATATACTTTTTTTCCTATATTTTACATTCAACTTGTCACAAATCAGTGAAAATAAATTCCATTCAAAACACTTTTCAGCAAAAATTTATTCCAGCTAAAATAAAGTATTTTACACAGAGCACTAGAAGATCTTTGGTGATATTCAAAACACAAGCAGACTTAGTACTTATTTTTTTGGTGTATTTTTTCCTGAATTTACATTACTAATTGCATTTTAAAATTTCTCGTGTTGAACATTCCACAGAAAGTGCAGGTACGACTGCTTCACGCCGTTGCACTTGAGTAGAAATCTACTTTTTTTGTGTTTGCCAATGATTCCATTGCTATTTATTACATTTGCTGAACTTTGACTTGATGAAATGTTTTTACATACAGTAAGTTTGAAATAAACATATCCCTTGCATTGTGGTGAAAAATGTTGTCTTTGGTGATTCTTTATCGTCAACTACTACACCAACCCGGCATAGCTTGGAGAATGGTGGGAGGGATGACATTTTGCAGAGCCCTATTACACACTACAGATTCATGGCAAAACAATATGCACTGCTTTAAGGTAGCGAGACTATTATTTGTGTTGAAAATTACGATTTTCACATTTATTTATTAATTGATGAAATGCACCATAAACTTTCATATGATAAAGTCAATATAACATAGAATGTCATGTAAGTTGGTTAAAATGTAGATTTTCTGAAGGGAAGCAAGGCAGCCTCAGTAGTGTTTTCCAAAATCAACAACACAGGTTTAATTTGTGTGCCT